GAGTAGGTGGGAGTGACGAAGCGAGTGTGTGATCCAGTGTGTGTACAAAAGCCAATTATCCTTCACTCAGTGTCTAAAAGAGTGTGTGTTTGTATGGCAAGCTCTACCTGTGTGATGTTATGCATGAGTGTGTTTTTAGTACTTTAAATATATGATTTAACATGTTTGTGTCTGTGTTTGATAGGAGTTTGAGTGAGGGTGGGGGGACTGGAAAAATACAGTCTGACCCTGCTATGCTCTGTATTCCTTCAAAGTACAGGCATGTCTAGAGTGAAGGCTTTGACAACTGTGGCTAGGCAGAGGAGAGGGACTTGACATATGGTGCAGAGTGGGGGAATGTATGAATGGGGCAAAGAGAGAAAAGGGAGGGAACAAGAGAGTGGTAGGACAAAGTAGTGGGAGTGCAGTAGATGCTTTCTTTGAGAAAAAGGGGTCTTTTTTGTGGTGGCCAATGACTATCGCACGCAGCACCCCAACCTTGAAATTTACTTTGCCCATCTGTGTGGTATTTTTGTTCCCAGCACAGAGCTCACAGTACACAGGTGGGAGGAGAAGCAAGTCAATTTTATTATTATAAACCAATATCACAAATTTGCCCCACAGGCTTAACAATCTGTGCAATCAACCATTTCACTGGGAGAAAATTGAAAAAGAGTTGTTGGTATTTTGGTGGAAAACGTGTGAGTACATATCCCAGAACCACATCGGCCTGTGGCATAACATCAAACTGTTGCCACTTTGCCAATTTTGCCAGCTTCTCGTGTTTACCTCGATTCAAGAAACATGCGAATGACAACAGGCTGCTACAGAATAACCACACATACCTCTACACACCTCAGAATGGTCAGCTATATCTCAGTATTCAACCTGTTTTATTCTTAAAATCCATTATAATCTAAACCCTTGTTTGTCACATTTTAAGAGTAACAGTAGAATTATGACTGAAATAGTGCTGGATTGATACAATTGTAGCTCAATATCTGTTTAAATATCTATCTTCAATGTTGTCATTTAGCAAGACATAGCTTAAAATGTTGGTTATTTGGCACCTTCCAATTATGTAATTAGGATCTGGCTGATGATTAATCAACTGTTTTTAAGTGCAGTACTCTAAGAAACAGAAAGTCTCAACATCACTAACATGCCAATTATTCTAGGATTATTAATTAATGTGACAGCAACTGTGTACAGTACTCCACAGTTTATATGATTGACTGACAACATTCATCCAAACAAAACATTTATACATACCTTGCTGGATAACTGTTTCCCCTGCAATGTGGGTGACTGGGAACATGGCATCAAATATGTCACTGAAGGAGAAAGAGACAGAGAGGGAAGAGGAATGAGGGAGAAGGAAAGAGGGAGGAAGAACACAGTTATTACCAACGTACCTGCTATAATGGTGCATTACTCCACAAACAAACATGCATCCCTATTCTCAATTAAAACCATCATAAAGAACAAACATCCCACAGTTTTGTTCATCATCAGGCTCAAAAACATTGTTCCTATCTTCTTATAAACACTTATTACATCTATTACTACAGGTGCAACTGAATGCAAGTACCAAACATAAGAGAATATTATCAGATTAATCAGCAAAGCTTCAGCCACTTTCTCCGCATCTTTACATCGTATCAGTGCTGCACATAGGCTCGAACATGACTGTGTGCTGTTTCAGCACACGATCAAAGCCTTTATCTCCGAGCGTATCTTTTAAAAGAGGCACTGAGAAAACAAACAAATGATGGCTGTGCCTAAGCACTTAATTTCTGTTTCAGGCCGGCAGGGAAAGCGCCTGTTAGACTGTTCCTAATCGGGCCGTTTAAATGCATGAAACCTCAGCAGATTAAAGTTCCACGGCTGAGATGTGTTGGGACAAGATTCAGAAAACACAGTATCCTTCCTCTCCTCCTCCTCTCTGCCTGTCTCTCACCCTCAGGGTATATTTATCTATCTAATCAGTTACATACCACCCGTCTTATAGAGAAATATAGAAAAAACAATAAAAGAGGGTCAGGCATATCAAAGACATACAAGACCTGCTGAGTGAATGTGGGGCAAGTTCGAGCCCGTTCTCGGTTATGCGTGTATGTCACCGAATGTGTGTTTGCACCAGTCTGTCTGCGTTTGAGTATATATTGCCTATGAAAACACGCAGGTTTCTACAAAATAATGTGTGGGTGTTGAATATGTCTGTGCACTTGACTATGCAGCACTTAGAAATGAAAATGTTTTCACAGCCAAACACACCTTGCTGTACACTACAGACATAAAAGTGTTGCTTTACATGAACCTCCCCGGTGAAGAAAAAAATATTACAGGTCAACAGATGTTGGGGAGAGATCTGAGGATGTTATTGAGTGGTTTGGAAGTGAACTGACCCTGCTGGTATTTGTTTATGTGACACTGAATAAAAAGCAGACTTAAGAAGGTGGATTTGGGCCAACTACACCCACAGGTAGGCCCTGTGCGATACAGCTGGCCACTGACTCACACATACTCCAGGACACACACACGCATGTGTACAAAAAACCCCCACACTCTTTGAAGTGTACAAGCGCAGGCTGAAAGATGCACAGACACACTTGGGTACTCTCACATACAACACAGCCTCCATACACTATATCCACGTGGTACCAAGCATGTACACTGACTTGTGCATGTCAACACACTCACTCACAATATATTAAAGCACATGAAAATACCCACACTGGCACTCTCATATGACACGCAAACTCCAACGCTTTGATGCTGATTAGTCAGAGCAACATCTGCAGGAGTCTATGACCACCTGCGCTTGGCATGGAGTCTGTTTATTCAGAGTTTCATAATGTGTGGTTTATGAAAATAATTACCTTAGTGAAAAAAGAAATTCAACAGCGCAAAAAAAAAAAAAACATGGAAAAATCAGCACATACAAGTCGTTAACTTTTACATCATATCTTGAATGATGTTAAAATTACATCAAAATATATTTAAATGCTTTTTAACTCAAGACAGGTTGTGCTTCGGTGTGAACCCTTACCTAGTAGCGATGATGACGGTGTTGATGATGATGATGATGCATCATGCAGCTAAGTAGGATGCTCCAGACTGTGGCACATATGCATAGCGAGAGGATCAAAGGCAAGTAACGTGCGTTTAGGTAATTACCCTTGACCACCTCTCTCTTTCCATGCCCTGCCTCTCACTGAATGCATCAGTGAGCACAACAAAGACACTTATGCAGGTAATTACTTCCCCTCGTCTTTACCTGTCTCTCTTTCCCTTTCTTCATCCCCAACTTCCTCCCTGTCTGCTCTCGATAACTTTTTCTCTTCCTCTCCCCTCTCAATTACCCCTTTCTTCCCTCTAATTCTTGCGCTGCCCCACCTTTTCTCTCATCTCTCGGTCTATCGCCCCCTCCCTGCCTGTCCCAGATCAAGTGATTAATCTTGTCCTTTCCGTTACCTGTAGCCCCTCTGACCTTATGAAAAGGCAGAGCACCCCCCCACCCTAACCCCCCCCAACAATGGATATGCTGTTCTGACAGAGACAGACAGAAAGGAAAAGAGAGAGAGAGAGAACATGTAGACTCCGAAGGGGCTAGGAAGTTCACCTCCACCCTAGGAAGGGAGACAAAGCTTCTGTCATGGTTGAGATATGCGGAGATACTTCCCGGCAACACATGAGCACACGCCTTTTATGCACACTCTTACGAGTATGCATGCACGTAAAAACACATCCCACAAAAAATGAGAAATGCATCCAAGTAAATCAGCAATTGTTAACTATGTTCATACCCTCACTGACATCATTCTTATCTTATTGGGAATTCTTACGATCTATCCCCCTGTGCACAACACAGTCCTTGTCCAGAAGACATCACATAGACAGCACATCGTCTGTGTATGTGTTTGTAGTGCAGGAAGTCGCAGCTAGAGATAAGGGCACTTGTGTGATAATAAGAGTGGCTATAAGCAGGGAAGAAACCGATGATCCCAAAAGATGAAGTCATGGGTGGAATTAACAGCAAAATGGATGCAATTAGAAAGAAGAGATACTTGTAAGTAAAACACTGCACTGAAATTGCATTGTGTCTTGAAGCTGTGGTTTTTGTAAAGAAGAAAATGCCAGTCCGATTAACCAAGCCATACTAAAATGTAGCTGCCACCTCAGGTTGCAAGTCGTTCAACACAGTGAGAATCTGTATACACGCATGCATGTGTGCGTTTGTGTGGGAATGATAGGAAAAGTTTATGTGCGCCTTCACTCTCTCCCCCACACACGCACACAACAACGCAGCAACAGCCTACTATTGTTCTCAAACACTCATAAAAACGCGGTTAGCTTAGGGGATTTCAGTCATTAATGACATAAAATCAGGCCTGCTTGTTGTAGCTGGATTGCTTGTTGTTCTTCCGAGTTGGCGTTGACGGCTTTTCTCGCTCACATCTTCCCTCCTTCTTCTTAATCTCTCCTCTGTAACACAGCTGTTTATTTGTTCTGCAGCAGACGTCTTATCTCTCGCATTTCTACCTTAACACACAGAACTACTATTATGCCATTAACACCAAAGGACTCTTTAACAGTGTGGTGTGCCGCCATGTCTTTGTGTTTCTTAATGGGCCGCAGAATGTTGAGTTACACAAGCCCTTAATGGGGAACCCATCCAGAATGCTCACTCGTCTGAGTGAAAGAGGTTTTGCAATAACCAAAGCAATCAACAACTGCACCGCATACGGGAACTTCCCAGCTCTCCAAGTTGTGTCTTGGCTTGGCAGCAATGTGCCACTGGTTTGGCTGGCACAGTGTTCATGCCTTAAGTGCTTGAAGGATTAATTTTCACTACCACAGTTGATAGTAATTCAGATTGCTGATTCGGGCAAATCAGAACAATAGTCTTTGTTTTGCAAGTCTACACAATTCCATGATATAAATAATGGCCTGAGGACATCAAATGATGTACACTTGATTTGTATAATATGTGTAAGGTTTATAGGCTAACAATGGCAGCAGGGTGACATGATGATCATCCTTCACCTATGAACATAAAAAAAACTAGCAAAAAACTAATGCTAGATGTAGAAAAGGAAAAGAAAAGAAAAGAAATCCTAACACGAATTAACTGAAGAAGTTATCTAAGAACTGGGAATCATATACAAATAAACACCTGTTAAAGTAAAAAAGGTTTCACCCCTTCATTACATTATAATTTGATAGTCTGCGGCCACTAAAATGCCGATGTAATAATAAGTGAGTCCTGCAAGTGCCGGCAAGTCTCCTGACTTGGGAATGTTAAACAGAATTGAAACTTACTGTAGTCTGAATGGAATTAAAAGCTCTGCAAAGATGCATTGTGCACATTCTCATCAACTGTAACTAAAGTGGCAGGTTGCTATGGGTATCACATACAACAATGAGTTGTGGTTAGTCAGCATAATGTGTAAAGCACATGCAAACTCACAAAAAAAAGGATGAAAACATACATTAGATTTTCACTGATGATGGAGGTTAACAGAACTGTTTACTAGCCTGTTGTGTGACTCATTGTGGGTATATTACAGTAATATGGAAAACAGTTGTGTGAGACTGGGTAAGTAATGTACAGTTTAATGTCCAGAGTTTAAAGGTGAGCTCCATCAGCCAAAATGACTCACATGGAACAACGAAGTCACCCCCCTGAGCTCTATAAGTCCAGACACAATGAAATTTGTTTACTAAACACATATAGCACTATGCACATACATGCATGTACACACACTTATGCACTCACATGCAGACAGACACACACCGCTGACAATACGCAGTAGTATGAGAGAGTGAGTAAGAAAGAGAAAAAAGGGGGAGATGAAGGAGGTATAATTATAAAGCACTGAAGCATTTAGGGAGGATATTTATGACATGAAAGCCCTTGGCACGCGCCCTGTCTCTCCCTAGAGACCTGGCGGAAAATGGAAGAACGGGGCCATGCCAGCTGCTGCCCATTTCTTTGAACTGGCCTCCAACCACCGAAAGCAGTCTGTGCTGCGTTGTACTTGGTCCAGACACACCACAAAGATGCCCTCCTGACCACCAAATCACAACTGTATATGTCTACTTTTAAAACTACAGTGAACTAGTGATGTTGAATAATAAAACTGGGAAAGCTAGTTCATAAAACAACAACTAGAGACTAATTTTAGCATTGCAATATTGCACTCTGAAACCAAATCTTGCATAGTGTTGCATTAATGTGCATTCACATATTTTGTGACTAAAAGATGAGTTGATTATTGTGTGTTTCTGGTAAACTAAGTTCTTCTTGCACATCAAGTCTTATTGGCAG